ATAGAAAAATCAAGTTTTTTACAGCAGTTGATGAAGAACAGTTGTGGACATGTCCTGCTGATAAGATTGAGTAGCATTGTCCACAGAGCTTTGAATTATTGGCAGAAAAAGATATAACTGGTTCGGTTTCACTAATTGGGAGCATTCCATTTGAATTTTTGGTCAACATTTTCCATTCAACCTTTAAAAGTGAAATACAAAATTATTTAAATATAAGTGCTTCATTACAATTTAGAATTTGCTATAAATAGTAATGGTATATCTTTTTTAATAATAAGGTTAAAAATAAAAACATTTTCGTTGTTAACGTTTTTTAATTATTATTAAAGCGTTTTAATTATTTTTTTAAGACTATCGATTGCTATATAGATGGTATCTATATCTAAAGAAATATTAATAATCTTAAAACTTTATAGCTTAAAAAAACTTGACAGAAATAATGAGTTTAAAATATAGTTTGACATTCTACCTTTGATACTTTCTCTCCCCACGAGCCTCTGGGTGTATTACCGGACTTGATCATGTAAAGATTCCTTCTACAACTGGAACAAACTACAGTTGGGTAACTGCTAATTTCCAGGGAATAACCGGGATATATATACAGCTTCATCAAATTTTCTATTGTTGAATTTACAGGAGATAAAGACAATGACCTTGCTCCAAAAAATTCGCAGCAGCAACAACATGTTGAATTTCGTTGAAAAGAAGCAGTTGACATGCTAACACCAGCCATTTAAATTTATTGAAATCAATGTGAATTATATCCAAAAAAATGCAAACTTAATATAATACCATTAAGTTAAAATACTTAATCTTGAGAAAACTTTAATTAAAATTGCTATCTTAAAAAAAAGCTAATGCAAAATTCCTTTTATATAAAGTTACTAGATCAGCAAAAATTAGTTAACGCTTAACTAAAAACAATTTAAAAATCTTTTATAATTATGAAGCCTGGATTTGATTTTCTCATTAAAAAATTTACCTTAAAAAGTTGCTTGATTTATTATTATTAATTTATGTTGACATATAAATAGAAAATACAAAGCGGCTATTATTTTCATTATTTAAAAAAATATTTTAACTTTTAAATTCTTCTAATAAATTTGTAAGTCATTAATTTAAAATTGATGTTAATAAAAACCAGGTATTTTAAATGTAAGAAGTTCGGTTAAATTACGTAAGTTGCAAAAAAGATATTCAAAAAGATGTCGAATTTCATCATTTGAATATATAAGTTTTTTGTTTCAAATGTAAAATAGAGAACTTTCCATTAAATTTCAAGCGTATGTTTCTATACAATTTTTAATCAGAATAAAATTCGTTATTATAATCATTTATAAAAATATGAGGCTAGAAACTTTTGCATTGCCCTTTTCTTGCCCTTTTTTGACCCTTTGCACCGTATTCAGATTTTAAAAAACCCTTTTTTTATAAGTAAACTACTAATACTCTAAAATAAAATAAAATTTGTATGAGTGACACAACATAAAACCTGGCGGTCTCTTTGGCCAACTGTGCATTCGGTTGAAAGACGTCGTTAAAAAAAAGTTATTAAGTAATAGTTTTAAATAGTTTAGAACTTATAAAAATGTCTTACAGGGCTCGTATTAAGCGTATCGCGATCGCGATTGCAACACACACTTTTGTGATTAAATCTTTTCGCGACTTATTTTTTTTTTGGTTGATTTTTTTTTTTTTTTGAGCTTCGCAATTCTTAAAAGTAATGTTTTTATCATAAAGAACGTCACACAAAATTTATTATTCTGAATAGATAGATAAATAGACGATTTGCTCTTTCGCGCGGAGATTTTCTTTTAACGTAAAACATTTTTGAATTTAAATTACTTTAAATCTCTGCGTGGAAAATTTTTACAAGGTCGTTTAAGCGAAAAGTTGAAAAGTTGGTTTTTATCTTTGCTTATCAAAACTTCATGTTTAAAATAAGGCTTACAAACGTTAGAGCAAAAAAATTACTGACTTTAATTTGCATTTTTATACTGTTTGAAAAAAAAACTAATAAAAAAGAATTAATTGTTATTATTATTAATTCTAATAATTATTAATTAATATATTATTCGTTAATTCTTTTTTATTAGTTTTTTTTTTTCAAACAGTATAAAGATGCTAATAAAAACCAGCAATTTTTTTATTTTAACGTTTTTAAGCCTTATTTTAAACGTTTTTTAAGCCTTATTTTAAACATGAAGTATAATTCGATTTATTAAACCAAATTTTTTTGTTTCATCTTTTATTGAAAACTTGAAGTAGAAAAATTAAATAAAAACATCAACCATTTAAATGAAAAACTTAATTATATTTAAACTTTTATTAGTCCTTTATTCAAGAAACAATAAATTATAAAAAACGTGGTATCTAATTTTTTATTAAGTTTTTGACGATGTTTTTTAATTTATTGACGATAATTTTTTCCCCATTACCGCACATCGGCGCGAGCTATAAAAGAGAGGGGGGGGGGAGAGCAAAAAAAACTTTTTTTTTTGCTCTTTTGCGATTAGATTTTTTTGCGTTAATTCGACCCCTGTCTAAGTTTAATTTTCTAATAAAATGTCTATTCAACCTTATCAATTTAAACCAAAAAAATATAGCAATTTAGCATAAATGTTAATTTAACTAAAACATTTTACAATAATTATTTTTTTTATCAAGCAAAAATGAGAGTAACCGTCAATACAAATTACCGAAAAAAATTTATTTTTCTACTAAGGAAATATTTTAAATAAACTTTCATGTGTCTAAGTCAATATTCATTTGTTTTTAACTGACTAAAAAGAGTTAAAAATTTGACTTCTATTCATTTTTAGCCGTGGAATTGCCCTTATAACACAAATATATAAATTAATATTATAAAAAAAACTTTAATATACAAATATATTTTCACAAAATGCTACAAAACTTATTCTTGGAGTTAGTTGAAAAAAAACGACTTTACTTTTAAATTTAATTACCAACTAATAAGTTTGCAACAATGACATTTTGTCTACTTTGTTTAATTTGACGTACAAACGTTAGTTTTTTGAGGCAGTAGAGTCAATAAACTTTGGACAAGACGCTTTTTTTTTTAATCGAAGAAAAGCGTTTTTTTGAAAATTAAATTTGTTAGTGTGTGTTCATTATTACGTTTTAAAAAAAATAATATACATCAAATATTTTTTTTTTTTATGCTCTTTCATATGATATCCTATCTTTATAGCACTTAGGGATCCCTTTAAAAACGATAACAATGAAAAGATTAGATCTTATCCCAAATATACGTGAATTAGGAGTAGATAAATTAATTATGGAAGGATTTACTTAATGAAATAAAAAATACTAAAAAAAATTCGCAAAGAAAACTTAAATAAAGTTAAGCTTGCTTTAGTTATATTTATTTCAAAGGCAAAGAAAAAACTAAAACAATGAGGACGAAACTATGATACATTTGTGCAAAAAGAAAATCCTTAGCTTCAAAGAAATCTTATGAACAATAAAAATAGCCATTTTGGTTCTGGAAGGCACCATAAAAAACGGAGTGTTCTTGGAGAGAGAAGCAAAAGAAAAAAAAATAAAAGAACTAGCCACTGAACATCATGAAACTCTATTTTTAGCTTCTGCAAAAAGTGCAAATGCTGCTGGAGAAAAAAAAAAGCCTCTGTTTTAAAAAACAATATATCTAATGTTTTAGAGGTAGAAAAAGTTGATAAAACTTTGGATAAAACCTTTCCCATTAACATGAGTGCAGAGGGTGCTCTTGCATTGAAAATGAATACTAATCTCAGCGATAAACAATATCAAAAGAAACTCAGCTCTTGTACACAACGCACATATTTATCCTACCTTGCACGATATTTTCGTGGAATAATTGAAATGTTATTATGAGAATATACATTTTTCTGAAATTTCTGCAAAGTGTACTCTTCAAAACATGTTAGATCACACTATAAGTAGAATAACAGAAATGGTTGATATGCCTAATTTTGGTCAAAGTGAATATTTGGAAAATATGGAAAGATTGGTTTTGATGGAGCATCAAGCCAAGGTATTTATAAACAGAAATACGATACAAGCAACGCAAGTATAGAGCTTAAGCATGAAGAAAATCTTTTCAGTACAGCTTTTGTGCCTTTATTGCTCAAAGTAGAAGATGGCGAAATTTGGAAAAATGAAAATACTTCAAGCTGTCACTTTTGTAGACCTCTTCATCTACAATATAAAAAAGAGAGTCCAATTTTATCTAGAGAAGAAGAATCAGATCTAAAAAATCAAATAAATACTTTAAAGACGTTTTGCAAAGTTTTTAATATTGCAGGAAGAATTTTGACGTTTAATATCAGCTATAGGATTGATCTTACAATGTTTGATAATAAAGTAGTTAGCGCATTACAGAGACAAAATCCACTCAATCCTGCAATGTGTGCAATGCTAAACCCAAGGAAATGAACAATATTGATTATTAAAAGCAAAAACTGAGAATGACTCGGCCTTGGGGCTCGGAATTTCAGCTTTGCATTGCTGGATAAAATGCTTAGAATTCATTCTTCATTTGAGTTATAAAATTGAAATTAAAAAGTATAAGCCAAAAACAATTGAGGAAAAACTATCTGTAGACTTAAAAAAAAAAGAGATTCAGGTACTCTTCAGAGAACGGTTAAGCCTATACGTTGATATGCCTAAAACTGGGTCTGGAAACACGAATGACGGCAACACTGCCAGAAGAGCATTTAAAAATAGTGAAGTCTTTTCTGAAATTACTAAAGTTGATTGTGATATAATTAAAAGATTGCATAATATTCACAGTGGCGGACTGGCTGTATATATATTACCGGCCATGAAAATAATTAAAGGGCCCTCCCGGCCATACATATATCGCAAAGACTGTCCGGTCCGCAACTCTCTAAAAATAAGTCTTAAGAGGAGCAATTAAATCACAGATTAATAAAATTATATTGAATTAAAAAAGTAGAAGTGATGTGCAATTTGCACAGTGCAAAGTATAGCAATAACTATTCTTTAAACAGTTTGCTCAATTCATAGGACGAAGATGCATATCTTTGAATGATCGTATCATACTCAAGGCTATCAAGTAGATTTTTTTCTACAGACATCAACATATACGACTCTAAGTAGTCATTTGACATAGAATTACGCAATCTTGTCTTGATTAACTTTAACTTAGAAAACGATCTTTCACATTCGGCTTGTGTTACAGAAATAGTACATATTATTTTATAAATATGATACAAATTGTCATAGGTTTTGTCGTTGAGTCTATATGCAGCAAGAATTCGTAACAGACAAGATGGACACAATCCGCATGCTCCATATGTATGCTGATTACAGAGCGGTTCTTCTATGTAATTCTTTTGATATGCATTCTCTCTCAATGTTGTTGTTAAGGGCAAGGACAATTTCAAAATCTCATAGTTAGTGACAAATGATAACAATTCAGCCTTTATTTTATCAACGTCGGCATCTGGTAAAAATTGGATAATGCTGCGTAAACTGTTTAAAGGAATTCCCGAAATGGCAAGATCACCAAAGTTTGATGTATCAAAACATGCCATGTCCATATATAATTGTCGATGTGAAGTGAAATGTGACTCAAGACTTTGGACTACCTGATCCATTACCACATTATAAGTGTGAATTTTGTAGTGTTCCAAAGCTTTAGATTCGTCACGTTCGTCTACTGTATGTTCATCTAACATCGTTGGTGTCTTCTGCTTCCGTTTAGCTGGTAGTTCTATCCTTACCTCTAATATGGTTTCAGTTCTTTGAATGATGCTTGCATTTGCCATCCGTACAAATTGAAGAGCGTTATTATGAACATCATCAAAAAGTCTTGATTGACTTTTCAATTCAATTACGGCCTTCTCCACCATCTTAAATGCAACCAACACATTTAATCCACGAGTTTGCAGGTATATTGAAAGTGGTCCCACTTGTTCAAAAATTCGCAGGTAGGTAAAGAAAATGGTGTCAAATTTCAGGAATGGCATGAGCAATGTCTTAGCTTCATGACGTGTCTTTGTATCAAAATTTTCTGATTCGCTTATACATGACAGACATAAAATTAAATTGACAAACACTGTTGAAGATGGCTCAGCAAATATTCCAAATATCGCTGTTGCAGCATTTGATTTGCCCGACCACCTTGTTTCACCAATCAATTTCAATCTTTTCATCTTATCCATTCCAATTTGTGTTTCAACAAGTTTAATCCATGTAGCCATTCGCTTATATGACACTTTTATGAATGTTGAAACATTTTGCAAAAGGGTAAAAAATGAAACTGCCTGAATGCAGCAACTGGTTGCCTCCTTCACAACTAAGTTGAGAACATGAGCATAACACCAAATATGTACATGGTGGTCTGCAGCTTCTGTAATCTTTTGTTGCAGTCCATTGTACTTGCCATGATAACTTAAAGCACCATCAGTGCTGTCCGATAAACAGTATTTCAAGTTAAAGCCAAGCCGCTGTAGCGTCAAATTTAAGAGATCGAACAAGCCTTGGCTAGTACAGTCATTGCTTGGTACAATAGAAAGCAGCCGTTCATGCACAGTAGCATCTAAAACATAGCGAACCACAATGCTAAATTGGTCAATTGCAGATATATCTTGTGTAGAATCAACTTTTACGGAGTACACTTTTGCTTTGGATACTTCCATTACAATCTGTTCCTGCATCATATTTTTCATAATATTGAGAAGCTTTGATATAGTAGTTTTACTTAAAAACGTAACCAGAGCACCGCGACCTTTACTGCCGGCTTTACCTTGACGCTTCAGTTTTTTTATTCTTTTGGTTGATTTCTCTTGACACATAGAGAGATGAGAAGCTAAAAGTGGGTCATATTTGGCCAAGAGCTGTACCAAAGCCAAAAAAATTTCATTGTTTTCTTCATTATTGTCCAACGAATAAGCACCTTCATTCCTATGACCTCGAAATGGCAATGTTTGCTTACATGAATGTTTAATGATATCAATAACTCGAGAAAGAATTTGTTTCCGTATCAGTACTTCATCATTATATTTCTTTATTGCTGTACTATAAAATCTGTCAAAGTCTTGATTATTCATTATACGAATGTAATCAAGAACATGCCTGCGGTGAGTGCTGCTTGATTCGTGTTCTGCAACCCGTTGGCTAACTCGTCAAAAATCTTTGAAGCCAGACACAAATGATGAAACGGTGTTATACTGTGGTGATTCAAATGCAACACAAAATGAGCAATATAGATACTGAGAATTTTGGCTAAACGACAACCAATTTCTCGGTATGCTATCCTTCAAGTCTGTTTGTCTATGGTAGATCTTATTATCAAACGGCAAATGTTCATGTGGTTGAATTGGATGTTTGCTAAAAAAACATTTTAACTGCAAACGTGGTGGATATTCAAATGCTGATGTACTCTGCGAATTCGACTCAATATCTCCACCACCTCGAGCTTGTATTATTGCTGATGTACTCTTCAAATTCGACTTAATATCTCGACTACCTTTTGCTTGTATAACTCCTGATGTACTCTGTAAATTTGACTCAAGATCTCGACTACCTAGAGCTTGTATTATTGCTGATGTACTCTGTGAATTCGACTCAATATCTCGACTACCATTTGCTTGTATAATTCCTGATGTACTCTGTAAATTTGACTCAAGATCTTTACCACCTCGTGCTTTAATTATCTCTGATGTAATTTGTACATTCGACTCAATATTGCCTTGACATTGTGGTTGTACTGACAAAGATGATGTGATTAACTTGCACTTTTTTGCAGAAACTTCTATCTCTGTCTACAGACAGAGATAGAAGTTTTCTCTTTGCGCTTTTGTACTCCAGATTTTGACATGAGGATAGTGACCTGAGTTAAGATTTTAACATTTAAAAAATATAGCAAAAATAAAGATCGTCTCCTTTTAGAAAAAATGATATTTAGATCTCCCCAAATAAATTTTGTCCGATCAAATTTGTCTAAACGACAAAAATTGCAAATCAAACATATTAAAACTCAAATAAAGACAGGCCACCAATGACAGATTTTTGGTAAAGAAAGGGGGGCAATGACTTTTTTAGTACTTTAACTTGATAGGTGAAGAACATTACGATTATTAATGAAAAAAGAACATGTTTTTGAGAAATAATTTGGATTAGATATTTTATAACAGTTCTTACTTTCTTGATCTATAATCATGTTTAAATTAATGAATTTTTAAGTTATGTTTATAATTTTTTAACAATTTGAAGCGACAGAACGAAATCCTAAAGAATTTCAAATATAGACTTAATAAAAATCTAAAATTCTGTTTAAGCAAAAAAGATATAAACATATTTTTTTCTTCCAACACAAACAGAAGTAGCTGTAATAAAAAATACCTTTTCATGTATTTTATCTCATCCTAAGTTATACATTGTCAAAGTTTAGGATTTTGCTAAAATTTCCAATTTAAGTTTTTACTAATTTGCCCTAATAGGGCAAATTAGTAAAACTTAAATCTATTGCTAATTTGCCCTAATAGGGCAAATTAGTAAAACTTAAATCGGAAACCAGCATAGTTAAACTACGCTGAGGTACTTTAAGCTGACTAACACAAAAAGTGTTATTTATGTGTTACATAAACAGTAATGCTTATAAAAAGTTACAGAAAAGTTGATCATCCGGAAATTTATTTAATCCTCTACCTTTTAAATTTTATCATTTCAGCCGATTAGTATGATCAATGATCACCTTTAAATAATTATTTCGAGCGCGGAAGTTAACTAAAAGTTTTAGATTAAAAAAAGATAATAAATTTTATACAAACTAAAATACCAACCTCAAAAGAAGACTAACATCGCTTCAGTAAACTGGTTGATTAAGTGTGTTTTTGTGTTGAACTATTATAATTTTGAAAGGAATATTTAATTCATTTTTTAATTAATTCAAGCACCGCAATTGCAATAATAGTTACAAAGTCAATTCCCTTAGGAAAATCATTGATTATATTTGTATCTGAAAAACATTAAAAATTGCAAAACCTTAGCAATTCCCTTATGACAATTATATGTAAAACTCTTCTTCGACAATCAATCACGATTGTAAAGTTTTACGATCATTATTGATTGTCAAAGGAGAGTTTTACATGAAATTAGTTTTACAGTAAAACTATTTCTTTAGAGAACTTCGCACTTAATAGAGTTGAATAGTATATACAAGAAATTAAAAATAGTTTAACTTTATAATTAATTGTAATAATTATATATATATATATATATATATATATATATATATATATATATATATATATATATATATATATATATATATATATATATATATATATATATATACTATATATATATATATATATATATATATATATATATATATATATATATATATATATATATATATATATATATATATTACCTAATATATATATACTATATATATATATATATATATATATATATATATATATATATATATATATATATATATATATATATATATATATATATATATATATATATATATATATATATATATATATATTTTATATATATATATATATATATATATATATATATATATATATATATATATATATATATATATATATATATTAGGGGCCCACCGTTATATATATTTCAAGGCCATTTGGCCCACCGGCCAAATGGCCGGTGGGCCAAATGGCCTTGAATATTCATGAACTGAATATTCATAACCATATCTTGTGGATATCCTATTAATATCAATGAATTAGATTTTTTACTGCACTGAAACAGCTAAACGTATAGTGAGTTTATACAACTGGTATGTTATGCCTCCTACTGTACATAAACTGCTACTGCATAGTTCTTCTATATCAAATAAATTACCTTTGCCAATCAGGATATATTCAGAAGATGCACTAGAGAGTTTAAATAAACAGATAAAAAATTCTAGACTCAAGCACACGGCAAAAATATCAAGGTTAAACACAATGATGAATCAGATGCACTACCTTCTAGTAAGATCAGATCCAAAAATATCAAGCGTATCTTTTAGAAAACATAAGAGCTATCGAGGAAAACCGTTACCAGATGAAGTTTTTAAGTTATTTGTAATGTAAATAATAAATTTAATGTAAAAAAATACAGTATTTTTTTTCTATGTATCAACATCCTTTAAAAACCATTTTTATAAAAATATCAAGTAGAGTAATATATCAAAATTATGTGTTTGTCTTGAAGATTCTACAAACTAAAATTTTTGTACGCGTATAGTCCTTTAACACGCGTAAGCGCGCATTTTACGCGTCGAAGCTGCGTGTTAAAAAAAAATTATTAACAACTTGAACCCTTTAACTTAAAAATTATTATTTTAATATATAACATTATTTATTCACGATTTATGTCAATCTTTATTTAATTTTTGCCCTTTTTTGATTGTATTGAGTCACGGTCAAATATTTAAATTGACGCTATTTTGCGCTCAAAATTTCGGCAGCAAAATAAAAAGTAAACAATTGTTTATGCCATGTGATATTTTGTGATTAAGATTCTTGGCGCTTATAACATGTTAGTTTCTTGTTCAAACAACTGAGCACTGTGGTTTATAATGCTCTTTGATGACAAATAATGTGTTTAAAATAACTATCTTCGAATTCTAAATGGAATAGAGTAGTTACTTCTAAAAGTGAAATAAATATACATTAAGTCATAAAATATATTCATTTGACTTTTACTAAGAGTTTTAGTAATACATCATTTAATGATGTATTACTAAAAGTCATATGAATATATTTTATAACTAAATGTATATTTATTTCACTTTTTTATATGTATGTATGTATGTATGTATGTATGTATGTAGTATGTAGTATGTATGTATGTATGTATGTATGTATGTATGTATGTATGTATGTATGTATGTATGTATGTATGTATGTATGTATGTATGTATGTATGTATGTATGTATGTATGTATGTATGTATGTATGTATGTATGTATGTATGTATGTATATATATATATATATATATATACATACATATATATATATATAAATATATATTATATATATATATATATATATATATATATATATATACATACATACATACATACATACATACATACACACATACATACATACATACATACATACATACATACATACATACATACATACATACATACATACATACATACATATAAAAAAGTGAAATAATAAAAAAAATTAAATTTATTTTATTTAATTTTTGCCCTTTTTTGATTGTAATGAGTCACGGTCAAATATTTAAATTGACGCTATTTTGCGCTCAAAATTTCGGCAGCAAAATAAAAAGTAAACAATTGTTTATGCCATGTGATATTTTGTGATTAAGATTCTTGGCGCTTATAACATGTTAGTTTCTTGTTCAAACAACTGAGCACTGTCGTTTATAATGCTCTTTGATGACAAATAATGTGTTTAAAATAACTATCTTCGAATTCTAAATGGAATAGAGTAGTTACTTCTAAAAGTGAAATAAATATACATTATATATATATAATGATTAAATATACATTATAAATAAATATATATATATATATATATATATATATATATATATATATATATATATATATATATATATATATATATATATATATATATATATATATATATATATATATATATATATATATAATCAAGTTTAGGATATATTAAAAAAATTCTTTATGACAACCTCATTTTAAAATAAATATCAACTATTTTGTGAAATCATAGGTCGCAATTAAATGGTTACTATAGTTATTTAGTTTTTAAATTTAAAAATAGTTTTGGCAATTGTGCTAAGTATTCAATAAGTTGTTTCTATTATTAAGTTTTATGTTTAGTAGATTACACTTAAGAAATAAGAATCAGTGGAAACAATCACTAAAGGTTAAAGTAAAAAGTTTATGAATCACTAATGCTTGGATTTTAGAAAAGTTTTGTAACGTAAGTACTTTATAAGATATCAATTGAACTTGATTGTATAATCAAATATTGCAGGTTGTTAACATATAGTCTGACTTTTTAACATAAATTGATTCTTCCTAAATGCAAAAGAATATATTTCAAGTCATTATGT